CCGCTCTCCCCCCTGGCTCTGGTCCCCCCCCCCCCCGGCTCCGGTCTCCACCGCCGGGGCTCGCCGGTCTCCCCACTGGCACGCCCGGCCGCACGCACGCGTGCCAGCCAAGCCTTGTCTTGCCCTCCCTCTCTCTGTAGCGGCGGCGAGGCAGTTCACAGAGCGTTCCCTGCGCATGCGCAGGGGACGCTCTGTTAGTTTTGGGGGGATTTAAGTATCCCCCCCCAATATTTTTTCCAACTTTTGAGATTTTTGTGCACACCTGGGGATCGCCCCAAATGTGCACGAAAATCTCCCCGCCCCCCAGGTGCCCCCGATGTGTGGATTTAGATATCCGCATGCAGGGGGCGCCTTTCGGTATTAGATATATAGATACAATTTCAGTCATGGCCAAGAGCAGGAATTATGTGGCACAGGAAAACATGTGGGCATCTCTGATTTTTGTGATTTGTTAGGGCCTCACCTATTTTGCTAGCAGTTCCAGTCACCTCATCTGCAACGCAAATGGCTTATGAGGGTGGGGAGTAATATGCTAAAGATAGTGCTGCATTCTGTGCATTGCACAGCATCTAATGTAGCACTAGACGCTTAAAAGCAGCTAGTAACTTTGTGCCTAAGAGTGGATTTTGATGAACTGCTGACATAAAGCTACCAAGACATGACTACAACATGTGTTCACATGGTATTGCCAAGATGTTTCGTTTGTGGTCTAAGGAAAATCCAGTTTACAAAAATACTGTTTCATCTTGTGTGGGAGGCAAATTTATTTCACATGAGAGGGGAAAAGCTGAGATTGCAGAAATCAAGAGTGCTCTAGCAAGAAGACGCAAATGAATGTCCTCCAATCTTCCTGCTGCAGTAAGAATGCTGCTGGCATAAAATGTCTCCTCGTAATAAAAGTATTTCAGCATTTTGAGCCCTGTTTCAGTTATATCCTGCTCTTCTGTGCATTGTTCCATTTATTTCCTTTTTTTAAAAAAATAATTTTTTTGTTGGTTTGATATTTTTACTTAGAATCTTCTGCTGTTGGTTTGATGAAACGTGTGGTCTCATTCTTCCAAACAGTCGGTATTTAAACAAAAGCCCCTCAACATTTATGCACATCATTTTTTATTTTCTTATACTTTGAAGCAGGCAGTCAAAGTAATTTTAGAGCTGAAGGTAATGAAATTCTTGAGCCCTAATGTAATGAGTAATATGTGAAAAGAAAATTTCCTTAATAAAAACCCTCACTTTTTTGCCAAGAACCTGTTAACTTTAAAGTTAACATCCCACCTTCTCCTAAGACCTGTGTATGACTCAGGCTGAAGTTACATTTTAAATGGGAAGTGTGATAGACAGCACCTATAATTACAGCCATTTTTTATCTGGCTGTTTGAACTGTCATGCTACTTACTGAGTGCATAAAGTACCAGAACTTGTACAGGCAGTTTATACATACATTAAATTAATCTCTCACAGCTTCTTACCTCTCTATTTAATTATGAAATATGTAATTCTGAAACATTTCTAAAGAATTTTGGAAGGATGTGGGCCAGGGAGAGGAGCTGATACGTTCTTTTACATTTAGTTTGGCTTTATTTGTATCATCATATTTATAATGTAAATCACATGTGCTTGCTAGTTTGAATGTGTGAACTATCACATAGTACCATATATTAACTACCATGGGTGGGGCCTTTTAATCATTGAGCTTCTCTCTCAATAGATACCATATCAACTTGTTATGTGAATTAGCTCTTTAGATACAGTTATAATGGCACACTTGAGTTGTTACAACCCAGAGAAATGCATGTATGCTTCCCTGTTCCTGGTTTGGGGATCCTATACACAGATGCGTACTTGGGGCAGTATTGAGGAAATAGGGGGGAGAAAGTGTGTGAGAAAGAGAGAGTTCTAATTTAACTAAAGGGGAGGTCAAAGAACCCCAAATAGCAATAAAGAGCAATTAAATAATTTCTACTGGAAGCAGTTACTTAAACTGGATGTGTCCATTCATGGCTAATCCAGGTGGAACCAGACTGAATATGTGTGTGATGTCCACAAGGAAAGAGGAAGCAGTGGGGAAAGAAGGTATCATAGAGCAGGGAGTGGAGGGGACAGACGGACGGGACAGGCTAAAGAGGAAAGGATCAAGACTGGAGCAGAAGCAAGGGGGGAAGGATGGATGTGTAACATGAGGAATGGAATGGGAAAAATTCGATTGTGGAGCCAGGTGTGGCTACAAGAAAGGAGGGGGGATGATAATGTCTGGGTTTGACCAAAAGCAAAAGGAAAATGGAATGGGGGTACATGGCTGGTGGAGAGAGTGGGATCTTAGTAGCGGGGCTCCAACTGACAAAGTGAGAATGGGGTTGAGAGCGAGTAGAATTCCTGAAGAGGAAAAAGTGGAAAAATCAAGCTGAAGATAGAAAGGGAAGGAAATGCGTATGTTGCCTGATCCTAAAGTGTGACTACTGTCAAGTGTTGTGGTAATGGAGGAACAGTCCTGGTGTGAAACTGAACAAAATTCTGGGCTAATTAGGTCCCTTTATGCCCTTTCCTATCAATGGTGTGAGCAAAGCTTGTTACTTGAGTACCTTCAAGGGAGATGCTAATTGGGCAGGAGATGATGTTATCATGCTGACTGAGGGTTTGATTAATTTATCAGGCAGATTTGTATTATTTCAATGGTCCTTGAGTAGAGATGGGTATCAGGTTATTGTCCCACAAGCACCAGTCATCTGGGTGTGGGGATATACTTGGGATCATAAAACAAGCCCTTAATGAAGGGCTGTGGTGATTTCTCACAGGAGCCTAGCTGTTATGAGATGCTATTTTATTTCACTTAGGCCCCGGTCACATGGAGCATTTGCGGCGCTAAAGATACAGATGATAGGCGGATTTTCCAGGCGCAATCACACCACAACATCTGGGAAGCGTAGTGCTCCCGTAGCTTCCCGCCAAAGATGTGGAGTAAAAAACTAGTACTTACGAGGTACTGGTTTCCGGACACCGCGGGGCAAGGTTGGGCATCTGATCACGTTTCCGGTGGAATCCCGTGGCATCCGGCACCTGCCGATGTTCCCTTGCAAACAAGGGGTGTTCCCCCCCCCAGTCTCTGCAGCATGTGCAAAAGCACCCAACGGCGCATGCGCACAAACTTCAGTAAAAAACCCCACCCCTTTGCAATGAAATCGGCGCCTAGCTATTGCTGGTGTGATCGCACCGCGCAGCTTCTTTGCCGCACTGCAGGATAGCCGTGTGATCGGCTACCCTAACCACGGGACCTCGACAGGACATGTGATTGGGCAGCCACGCATTATTTTGCTCCGGGGCAAAGACCCACGCTCCCCCCCCCGCATTTTCCGGCCCGTGTGACCAGGACCTTAGTGTCTCTCATGATTCTTTGCTTTGATTCAAGATGGAGTCTGCCTATACCTTTGCCTTCACAGGCCTCAGGAGCAGAGAGGTTCTAAGGGTAACAATGATTCCTCTATTGAAAACTCAAGGGAATTAAGTGCATGTAGATGAAAATGTCACCGTGTGTAAAAACAAAACCCTTCATAAAGTATCCTGGTTTCAAGTCTTCACTTTGAAATGGTGTGCTTTGTCTTGGAGCACTTGATAAGTTTACTCCAAGCCATTTGAATTTGGAACCCCATTCTAAATTAATAAATGAAAAGGTTTGCACATTCTCAGGAGCTGCTAAGACAAGCCAAATGGATGGAAACCATGTTTTGCAATAATTAAATATTGAAATCAAGACAAGTCTTAATTGAGACGAAGCCCTGTTTAATTGCTTTAGGCAGAAGGTATGCCAGGCTGCGTTCTACAATAATTTTGCGTGGGGCTTTTGAATTTATAGAATTGTAGAGTCTTGAGAAGTATTGGTAATCATGTTAAATTTCTTTTTTGATAGAATGGTGAAAGAACGTATGAGAGGAAAGTAAGACATTTGTAAGCTCCCATGATTGTTTAAGATATGACTTTACTGGCATAGACTCCCAAAGTACTGGCTACCCCCCTTCAGGAAGTGTTTTAAATGGTCTGAGTAATAATGTAATATTTCATTCAAATTAATACATTATTAAATTTCCAACTTTCAGGAATTCTTTGAACATGCAAAAAAGCTCTGGGATGACGAAGGAGTAAAAGCATGCTTCGAGAGATCAAATGAGTACCAGTTGATTGATTGTGCACAATAGTAAGTACTGATTCTGAATGATTAAAACAGAATAATGTACTTTCAAATGCTGAAAAACTCTGCATCATTTAACCATCTAAATTTGTTAATTGAGGCTAGTGGAAAATTGCAGAAGGATTTGGGGGTTTGGGTTGGGAAGGAGTAACATCTCTATGGCTGTTTTATCTACCACACACCCTTTTCTGCAGCTCCCACACATCACCTGACTGACAGTAACTCTGGCTGTTTCTTTTTCCTCCTTCCCAGTTGCTTCCCCTCCTCCAGCCTGTTAACTGTGTCATCATTCTCTGAGATCTAAGTGCAGCTTTGCCACAGCAGCCCTCACTAGGCCTCTATCAGCGATCTCTTCTAGTACTCCCATCCTAATGGCTAAAGGGGACTTTTAAAGCATCTAAGTGGCCTGGGGTCTCCAAGATCCCAAGGGAAAAAATGCCTAGAGTTAGAGCTGTGACAATAAACTGACAGTATGCATGAGCTCTTTGGTGACTTCTTGCTCCTGGGGAGATTAGATAAATACTCCTGCCAGTGCAACACATCTCAAAATTGCTCAGAGAACCTTTTACCTTTGCTGTTCAAATGGCGGATACAGGGTCTGGAATTTTACTAGGGAGTAATGAAAATTAGCTGGGCAGTGTATATTACACATATGTGGAATCTAGCTCCCCCCCAAAAAAAAACTTTTACAGGAAGATTTTAAAAACTATACAGCTCCATCCCTCAAATCCCAAATAATTTTTTTGCAAAGTTTTGTGGTTCCAGCTTCCAAAAGTATTACATTTAGCTGGCATTCAGTATAGTAAATATTTTCACTTTGCATCCAAAGGTTGGATTTTCTTTTTGTTTGTTTGTTTGTTTGCAGTTATAAATAAGTTATAATAGCTAAAAAAAATAGCTAAAAAGATTTACCCTAAAACTGTCGCTTTCCATGGTACTAAAGGTACAATGCACTGGTCCAGCACATTCTTTACAAAGTAAATCAGAAGTCCAAAACTAACAACATTTATTTCAGCCTGAGCCTTTCATGAGTCAGAGCTCACTTCTGATTCATGAATATTCATGATGAAATAGGTATTAGTCTTTAAGTTGCCACTGGACTTCTGTTTTATTTTACCACAACGGACTACCATGGCTACTCCTCTTGGGCCTTCTTTAAAACCAGCTTTAACGTATTTGGTTGAATCCACATTTTGATAAGCAGAATTCTGCTCGAGGAAAGCATGCTTGTTAATTTTTTTAGTACATTTTATCCTGTGCTTTCTCCAAGGAGCTCAAGGTGCCTTTGTTTACATCCTGCCTTTTTTTTCTACCCTCCTCCAGAATCTCTTAAAATACTGCTCTTGAGGGTCGAGAATACTAAGAAACAGTACAAGATCCAATGGAGGGGCTGTTGTGGAATGAGAAATCAGTAGAAATCACATACACACACATCTTGCACATAGCAATTCCCACCAGTTCTCTTTCCTATACAGCCCACTGAGGTATGTCCCACACTTTTTCTGAAGGTCATAACTTTCAGGAGCATCTTTTTGGGAAGCTCAGGGAAATGCAGGGAGAAAGGGAAGGCAGCAACAATCTCTTCTGTGAGCTGTATCAAACCTATTTTTGTTTCGCTTTAAAAACATGAAACAAGCATACAGTCAAAGATAGCCACTTCTAAATCCCATATATTTAAAATGGGCGAGGATCATGCATATGATTGAACTCCTCAACAGAAATCAGAGGGATTAAAATGTGCTTAATTTGTTTTGAGTTTGAGCATGCCAGTGCTAAAACAAGCCTAACTCACATTATCCCCTTTGTGTAAATAACTGTCAGTTTTAATCTACAGGCACTAGAATAAACGGCAAACAAGTGTGTATATGTGTTAAGTGGCGTCAAGTTGCTTCAGACTGATGGTGCCCCTACGGATTAATGACCTCCAAAATGTTTACAGCCTTGCTCAGGTCTTGCAAACTGAGGGCGGTGGCTTCCTTGATTGAGTCAATCCATCTCATGTTGGATCTTCCTCTTTTCTTGCTGTCTTCAGTTTTTCCTAGCATTATTGTCTTTTCCAGCAAGTCTTGTCTTCTTGTAGTATGACCAAAGTTACAATAGCCTCAGTTCAGTCTTGTTTAGCTTCTAGGAGAGGTCAAGCGTGATATGATCTAGAACCCACTTTTATGTCTTTTTGGCAATCCATGATGTCTGTGAACTGTTCCTCTCACACCACATTTCAAATGAATGCTTACAGTTAAGGATCTTTTATAGTCCTTCATGGGTGCCCTTCCCAGACTCAGCCTCCTTCTGATTTCTTGGTTGATGAGGAAGCCAAGAAATAGAAAACCTTTAACAGTTTCCATTTCTTCAGTGTCAACCTTAAAGTTGTGTAATTCCACAGTAGTCATTATTTGTGTCTTCTTGATGTTCAGCTATAATCCTGCTTTGGCTCTTTCTGCTTTAACCTTCATCGGGAGCAATATTCCCTCTAAGCTGTGGAGTCTTGTGAGCAAAAATTCTACTTTTTGAGCTACTGGCATTAAAGTTGTGAGTGAGCAATTTGGCTACTGCATAAGTTAGTTTGCCCTGGAGCCATTCTTCCTGAGCAGAGACAAAAATCTGTGAGCTGCAGGCTAAAAAACCGTGAGCTAACTCACACTAACTCATCTTAGAGGGAACACTGATCAGGAGTAATTTCAAGTCTTCACTGTTTTCTGACAGTAATCTGGTTTCATCCGCATATCTCAAACTGTTACTGTTCCTTCCACCAGTGTTCACTCCTTCATCTAAATCTAATCCAACTTTCCTTATGATACAGCTCTTTTATTATAAGTCCCCTTTCTCTGTGATTGGCTAATTTTGGTTCCAAAACCTCTCAGGGGCTTCTGGGAGTTGTAGGCCTGGCCTCCTCCCATTGCTACACAGGCTCCCTGGGCCTGCTAGGCCCTACTGGTACAGCCCAGATCATGACAATTTTGTATAAAGTTCAGTTTTTTTTCCCTTTTAGCTTTCAGATCAGAATTTTGTTGAAGTAAGAGTCATGTTAGTATATAATAGAGGATTTATGATAAATGGAAAAAATTGTGACCGAGCAGGATATTTTACTTTGCTATGTGTGCTCTAGTTATATCTTTGGCAAAACATTGACACATTTCCCCCTGTAACTAAAACAGTTATGTAGTTCGCTTATACTGAACATTGGAAAAAGAATTGCATGCCAAAATAAAGTATTTTTATTTTTATATACACACATTCATACACGCTACGGTAAAAGACAGTTCACAAAACCATACTTCTGTATTTTCCCAGAAAGGATTGGGGGTTTGTATACATTAGTGGGAATCTGTGTTACATTTTAGGTATTTGAAGGCAATGTATGTAACAGAGGAGTGCAAAATTCCACAGGGGCAGCTGTGTTAATTTCTGCAGCCAAAATAACAGATTCTTGTAGCATTAAAGATTAATTAAGTATTTAATTGTGGCTGAACTTCTGTTGGCCAGAACTTCATCATTTGCCTTATTTGAAATGTTGCATTCAGTTGGTGCATAAGCACGTGCATATAGAGCTACAAACAGAAAGAGTGGGGAGAAAGAGGTTATCCTGGGACATCAATATGTTACAGTACATTGCAGAGCACAGATAAAAATAAATGAGATACAAAAGAGCAAGTATGCATGCTTGTCTGTGTGTGTCAGAAAATAACAGCAAGAGAGAGAATGACAAAATGAATGAATGAATTGTTGATAAAGCAGGATGATTACGGATGATGCACATACACCTGTAAGGACGGGCTGTTACTTTCTGTAGACAGGTTTATGTTCACAGATTTTATCTCTTGTGATACTCATAAACATACACACATTTATTCTGGATCTTGTGCAATGTAATGTAACGCATCTGTGTTAATCTGGGCCTTCTGGTCTCTCGGTAATAACTTCCACCCATTCTTTGCCTTGCTTCTGTTTCTAGCTGTGTGCATGTGTATCCATCAACTAAACATAACACTTTGTGCCTCTGACAAAGTGGGCTCTGGTTCACATAATACATCATAATACATTACTTAGCAGTGTTCCCTCTAAGCTGATCAAGGTGGGTAGCCGTGTTGGTCTGAAGCAATAGAACAAATTTAGAGTCCAATGGCACCTTTAAGACCAACAAAGTTTTGTTCATCATCAGACGATGAAATGGAATTATATATCATAGTTGTATATATAGGAGTGGTTTGTTAAATTGGCATGCAAAATAGTGAGGACTTAATAGGGATATTGGTTTTTTATTCCATTATACATGCTAACTCATTCAATCCTCACATATGTATTCTCACCAAGAAGGGCTATATCCCCTATATTTTGATTTTGTTTCCCTTTTTTGTGATAGTATATTATAATAGTGATTGTAATGCAATGCGATATCTTGTTGATCTCTGACATAACATTGTACCCCAGGAAAAGGATTTTGTCAGTTAACTCCATGTTTTATTGAAGCAAAATGTTATTCCTACTCTTAGCAATTAAGAATATAATTGAATATGTAATGTAATTTGGAATGGTAGATTTAAATGCAGTTCTTTTGGGGGGGGACAAGGAAAACACTCTGCACAGCCAAGATGCTGTAAAATTTACCTCCATGCTTGAAAGGAGATGGATGTGGTCTAAGAATGCTGTTTGATGGGTCTTTGACCGTAATAAACAATGTATGTATGATCTAAGAATAGGATTCTCACAATCTCCAGTTCTAACATATTTATTATTATTATTATTATTATTATTATTTACATATTACATATATTGATTTTGAACCAAAACAGATGATAACCAGGAACTAAGCTTGTCATTCTTTTGGTCTGTTAAAAAAATGTGTCCTCACTATTTTTCATGCTAATTTAACAAACCATTCCTATATATACAACTATGGCTGCGATCACACGCACCTTTAGATCTGACATAGGTGCGAATGCCTGATGGATCTAAAGGGTGCGATCAGACAGCAACATCTGGGAAGTGTCCTGCAGTTGTCGGCAACC